TAGGTGCTTTAGACCACTGAGCCATCTCACCAGCCCCAAGAGCTAAATTATTATTATTTTTTTTTTTGTGGAACTGGGGATTGAACTCAGGCCGTTACGCTTGCCAGGGAAGCACTTATTCCACTGAGCCATCTCCCCGGCCCCTTGTGAACTAAATTAAATAAACTTTTCCTTCCTTAATTTTGCGTGTTGGGTATTTTGTCCCAGCAATGAATGAAAAGTAACTGAGACACTCCTTCCTGCCTGTTTTCTTTGAGCCTCAGAGGTGTGCTCCCAAATGCATTGAACTACAGCATGCCAGTCTGACCAGTCATAAGCACATTGTCTGGTGGATATTATTTCCTTTGTTCTGCACATGGAAGAATGACAGTAAAAGAAAATAAAAGTTGTCTGATATCTTACAGTTAGTAACTGAGCCAGAATTACAACCCAAATATGACTCAGAAGCCCACATGCTTGCTACCTGAAAAAGCCTACCTATTACCTGTTGGATTTGCTTCCTTTCTAGTAGCTCAGTTTCCCAGGGACAGTCACTGCCAGCCAAAACTACTATTCTACCCAGAGCATTTGGTGTCCACTGACCTGTGTCTTATGTAAATTGCTCCTCTCAGATCAGGTTTTACAAGGTTTAGTAGAAAATCAGAAGACACTTAATAATAGGTTTCCTTTCTAGGAAGGAACTTGAGTATGTTGAAAATGGCTATTGAAAAGTGCTTGCTTCTCAAAACCTCCTACTGGCAACGGTGTAGAAAAAACACTAGTAGGAAAAATGTAAATTCTGGAAAGATTTTAGCAACTCTAAATATTTCTTCCTTTGAGCTTAATTCAGTTTCTAAAAATTTGTTAAAAGAAAAAAGTAAAACTTGCGTTATATATACTAGTTCTTAATATTCTAGTGCATTTTCCCTTTTAAAGCAAAAGTTTGAAGATAAATATGTCTAGTGGTAAGGGACTGGTTAAATAAACTATGAAAAAATCCTCAGAATGGAATATACAATATTGAAATGGTGATTTGGGGATGTATTTAATGATTGGTGAAGAGGCCAGGGAGATAGCTCAGTAGAATAAGTGCCGCTTGGCAAGCTCAGGGTCCTGAATTAAATCCCTGGTTCCACAAAAAAGAAAGAAAAAGAAACTTGTAATTTTGGGCCGGGGAGATGGCTCAGTAGAATAAGTGCTTGTCTGGCAAGCACAAGAGCCTGAGTTCAATCCCAGATTCTGCCAAAAAAAAAAAGAATGAGAGTTGAAAAATTTTTTATGTTTTTACGAGATAATAAAAATGGTGAACAAACTGGTCATGGTTTGGTACACACCGGTGGTACACATCTGTTATCCCAGCACTCTGGGAGGCTGAAGCAAGAGAATCAAAAGTCAAGTCCAGGCTGGAGAGATAGCTCAGTGGTCTAAGCGCCTGCCTGACAAGCACAAGGACCTGAGTTCAATTGCCAGTATCACATGCCGTGCTGACCCCAGAACCCTAGGTGTGCCATGCTGGCCACCAGATCATGATGAGTCCAGACTGTATGGTGAGACCCTGTACCAAATAAAGAAATTTAAAAAAGGTTATTAAAAAAAAAAAGTCAAGTCTAACCTGGGCAGTTTAGCAAGACCCTATCAACATAAAAAGTTGGGGAGAGGGGGATGGGAATGTGGCTCAGAGTGAAGGTTCTGAGTTCAACCCCTAGCACAACAACAGAAGTAAAAAATATGCAGTAAAAACCATTTGTGACCATAACACTTAAAATCTTTATTATTTTGGTGATTTACAGGAAAGATTTATCCTGTCCTGTCCTAAAGATTACAGCATGTATATTTGTAATATTACGGTTAAAATTAGATTTTTTTTTTTTGGCGGAATGGGGGATTGAACTCAGGCCCTTGTGCTTGCCAAGGAAGCACTTATTTCACGGAGCCAACTCACCGACCCCAAAATTAGATATTTTTACCATTTCTTCACAATACAAAACCATGCCATGCCAGCCCCACCCACTGTGCGTGCTGAAAATGCGATTGAGACTGGGTGTGGTGGCGTGCACCTGTAATCCCAGCACTTGGGAGGCTGAAAAGAACTTGTGTCAAGGGCCTGAGTTCAATCCCCAGTTCTACAAAAAAAAAGAACTTGTATGATTTACTTTTATCTCCCTCCTGCCCTTTGTGGTTTTGTCGTATATATATAT